ACGTGTCTTCCTGGGCCTTCGAGAGGAAACAGCCCTCACCTGGCTTTTAGCCCGAGTCCTGTGTGGGATTCCCGACCTCCACAAGTGTCACAGAATAGATTTCTGCCCTTTTAAGCCCCCGAATCTGGTAATTCTTACAGTAGTCCTGGGAGGCTCACACAGGCATTGACGCCTGGCGTTGCCATTTTGCAGATGAGCACAGTGAGGCAGGTCCAGCCAGGCCCACAGGAGGCAAACCTGGCCGAGAGGGCGGAGGACAGTGGCGATGTGTCCAGGAGGCAGGAGGGGCCTGGAAGTCTGGACTCCGGGCCAGTGCCTGTGGCCGAAAGCGGCTGGTGCAGGGACCCGGCTCCAGCCTCCGGGAATGCCCTCCCCCAGGGCTGGATTTGCTAATGCTGCTAAAAGCTCGAGCGGATCCGCTGCGGGACTTGTGACCCGGCGCCTCTGGACCCTCCTCGCCCTCTGCAGCCGGACGCCCGCGGCGCCCAGCCCGTTCCCACGCCGTGACCCCCGCCGGGCTTGTCGCCCCCAGGGTCCCTCCTCCTGCTCATCCGCACGTCGGGACCCCGGGGTGGCGGGGGTGGGGAGGCGAGGGCGCCGACAGGGGCGGGCGGGGTGGACTCCGGAGTCCAGGCCGCTCGCCCAGGGGAACTCGCTGCGGCCGCGCCTGCGCCCTGGCTCCGGCGCTGGGCCCCTCTGCCCCGAGGCGGGAGCGGTTGCCGGGCGACGCGTTTGCGTCACCGAGCCTGGCGCGGTGCCCAGGCTCCCTGGGTGTGGAAGATGGGCCCTGGAGCTGGGCCAATAGGATTCCAAGGACTGAGCGCGGGGGGCGTGGCTGAGCCCCACAATTCAGCCAATGGGATTGTTCTCCTCAGGGTCGCGCAAGAAGGGCCGCGCTCCTTTTAAAGGGACCGCGCACATCTCTCCCGCTTTGCTTGCCCCGAGGGCGCGACCCCAAGGTGAGGGTCGGAGGGCCGGCCCCGGGGTGTGTGTGTGTGTGTGGGGGGGTGTCTCCTTGTGCCTCAGTTTCCTCAGGTGCGCATATCAGAGGCACGTGAACGGAGCATCCAGAGTCCGCTGCTCCCTGAAGGGAATCCCCGCATTTATGCGGCGCCACGGTGTGCACCTAGACCTCAGGCACCTCCGGCATGAGGATCACCCAAGCTCCTCGAGCTTTAGGGCAAGCACGCCCTCAGAAAGCCACACCGCAGTTGGGAACCTTATTTGTCCCCAGGCTTGGGCCCCTGCGCCCACCCTTCTAATCCTGGGGCCAGGAAACTGCCTTTACAAGGACCCCTTCCTGACCTGCAGGGTTCGGGAGGTTGGTTCCCCTGGGCTTTAGGTCTCCGGCAGTATCCCCTCCAGCCCTGTATCCGACAGCGGAAGACAAAGGGGTGGTGGTGAACATCTGGTCCCCGTGGGCTCTGAGGGCCGGTGTCCATGGCCACAGTGTCCCTCCACCCTGGACGGGCCCTCCTTTCTCTCAACTGGTCCAGGTCAATGAAAATACAAGTCAGGGGTAAGCAGTGACATTGGCTGATCCTGGGTGCAGACAGCCGCTGAAGTGTTACCCCAAACCACTCACCGGCCTCTGTGTCCCCAGCTTGCAGCGCCCCCCGAGGTGGCCTTCAGGGATTGGAGATGTCTGAGGCCAGGGCCCCTGCCGAGGCTGCTCTCAAAGACTGGGACTGGCATCTGGAGAGGTGGCAGGACCCACAGATTTGGGAAGAAGGACAGCAGGGCAGAGCCCTGGTCCACGTCAGGCTTTGGGGGGTGGACCCAGTCCCCCCCTGGTGGCCTTCCTTCCTGTCCCTGCATCACCCTCACCTCAGCCCCCTTGGACACCACTACCTGGGACGACCTGCTTTGAGCCTGATTCCCTGGCCATGTAAGATGTCAGCTTTAGGGGAAACTGGGTGGGGGTACCTGGAAACCCTCAGTTTTGCAAATTTTGCTTAGTCTAGAACTAGTCCAAAATGAAGTAAAATTTAAAAAAGAAAGCACACCACTATTATTAAGTAATTTCTGGGGCGCCTGGGTGGCGCAGTCGGTTAAGCGTCCGACTTCAGCCAGGTCACGATCTCACGATCTCGCGGGATCTCGTGATCTCGCGGTCCGTGAGTTCGAGCCCCGCGTCAGGCTCTGGGCTGATGGCTCCGAGCCTGGAGCCTGTTTCCGATTCTGTGTCTCCCTCTCTCTCTGCCCCTCCCCCGTTCATGCTCTGTCTCTCTCTGTCCCAAAAATAAATAAACGTTGAAAAAAAAATTAAGTATTTTCTTTTTTTTTAAAGTTTATTTTTGAGACAGAGCATGAGCTGGGGAGGGGCAGAGAGAGAGAGGGAGACACAGAATCCCAAGCAGGCTCCAGGCTCTGAGCCATCAGCACAGAGCCCGACACGGGGCTCGAACTCACGGATCGTGAGATCGTGACCTGAGCCGAAGTCGGACACTCAACCGACTGAGCCACCCAGGTGCCCCAGAATGTGTGTGGTTTTAAGGCACCAAATTTTGGTGGTATGTTACAGGGGCCCAGGACACCGTGCCCTCCTCCCAGGCTGATCCTTAGGGATGAGCCTGCACCAGCCTCCCCTTGCTGCTGTGACAGAGCAGCACATCTTCCCTGGAAGCTTCTGGAGACTGGACTGACAGAGTACGTTCATTCGACGGAGGGTGCGGTGGGGTCCCCCTGCTCTGGACTTCTCCTCCAGGACTCCCTCCAAAATGCCCGTTCTGGCCTTGGCCTGGCCGGGTGGCTGGAACTCACAGCTGTTCCCAGAGCCGAGCAGAGAACAGTCAGGAAGATCTGCTCACACAAAGAGAGGAAATGGGCTGGACGGCGGAGAAAGGGCCGCGGGGCGAGCAGATGCAGGGTGTCTGCCGGGACCCCGGGCTCGTGGCCATCTCCTGTGTCGTGACAGACCAGGGACCTTGCTGTGGGGTCCCAGCCAGCCCCGTACCCATCCCCCACTGAGGTCAGGATTGGGGGTCCGGTGCCCGGTGAGAGGGAAAATCAGCAAGCTGGTAAGTCCCGGGTGGAGGTCCCGGGGTGGGGGACACAGGGTGGCCACCTGACTATATCGCCACTTTCCAGCAAAGTGCTGGAGGGTGCCAAGTGTCACCAGTGTGAAATCCAGGTCAACCCGGCATCTGACGGAAGCTCAGACAGGCCTGGGGCTGGGCGGCAAGGTGGCGGGGACCAGCCCCCACCACCCCCACCCCCCCTCCCCGGGGACAGACAGAGCTGTCTCCAGGCTGTCGTCCCTGGTGGCCTTCCGGCGGACGGCATCCCCATCTAGGGACGGGAGGCCCACAGCAGGGAGGGGCAGAGCCCAGCAGCTGGTTTTGTTTTTCATCCACTGTCTTTGGAAAGAAGGGCAGATGGCTCCAGAAATATCTAGGAACGCACCCCCCTCCCTGGGTGGTGACCGGCAGTGCCATCGGAAGGTCAGCAGAGTGTAGTGTAAACAGTGGCTTCAAAACAGCAGACCTGCACAAAACTCTGCTGTGGCTGGGGACAGCAGAGGTGACAACAGCCCCAACGTCTGACAATTGCACGGGACGTGTCCACCGTGCACGCGCACGCCCCTCAGGTGCCTCCACCGCGCACGCGCACGTCCCTCGGCTGTGAGCAGGAGCGAGGCGCCCACCCCCGCCGCCCCGAGGACGGACCCCGGACCCAAGACGCTCAGGGAGGGAACCACACACGAGAGGCCACACGGGGTGTGCGTCCACGTGTGTGAAACGTGCAGAACAGACCCATCCACGGACAGGAAGGGGACTCGTGGGGGCCCGGGGCCGGAGGAGGGCGTGCCGGCGGGTGGTGATGAGGTTTCTGTTAGGTGAGAATGTTCGGGAGCTAGGTAGAGGTGATGATTGCACAACTTTGCAAATGTGCCAAATGCCACCGAACTGTTGACCTCGACTGGGTGACTTGTATGGCATGTCAGTGACACCTCAGTAGAGATGTTTGACCACGACAGAAGCCAGCGCGGTGGTGGTTTGTGATGGCGCGTGGTGACCGGGGACGAGGGGTTGACAGCACTGGGCGGGCGCGAAGGACCGCCTGCTGCCCTGCTAACCCGGATGGGACGCACAGCAGATGACCACAAGTGCCGGCCAGCGCCTGGCACGTTTCCTGGCCGCGGCGGGTCACCGCCGGCAAGGATCTGCGTGAACGTGGAAGAGGCCAGCGGACGCGTGAGAGGCTGCCACGTTGCAGATCGAGAGCTGAGCACCGGACCACGCTTTTGAACACGATTGGCGACAGGAGACCAGGCATTCGAGAAAACGCCTCGCTCGCAAGAAACGTCGGATCGTGTGCGCACAGACATGGCTGGGAGGGTGTGACGTCGGCTGCGGTCTCCGCGCTCCCCGGCGGCGCGGCAGGCACCGGCACCCCGGGTCAGGAACGTCCCCTACAGCCTTTGTATCTGGCGGTGGTTCTGCCCCAGGGGACCTTGTCCAGGCGGGGGCCACGTCTGCACATCTGTGGTCATCGCACTGGGGGCTCCTGGCATCGAGGGGGGTGGGGCCAGAAATGCTGCTTGACCCCACACTGCCCAGGAGGCCCTCCAGAGAACGATCCAGCCCTGAACGTCTTTGGGGGTGGGAGTGGGGGAGGGGAAGGCAGACCCCGGTCTAGAGAGACTCTCCCCAGGTGGGTGCAGGAGGAAACATCTAGAATGTTCCAGCAGTACTGTCTCTTGGGATGAACGGCTGCAACTACCTCGTCTGGCCCAGTCTCTCTCTTGCTGGCTCTGATGAAGCATGAGGCCGTGTTGAAGTGGCCCATGGGGCAGGGAGCCGAGGGTGGCCTCTGACTGACAGCCAGCAAGAGACTGCAGCCCTCAGTCCTGTAACTGCCGGGAGCCGAATTCTGCCGACAACCACGGGACCTCAAGCAGGTGCATCCCCAGGTGAGCCTCTGGGTGAAAACACTTAAAAGTAACTTTATTTAAAACAAAAAAATTTTTAATATTTACTTATTTTTGAGAGAGAGAGAGAGACAGACAGACAGACAGAGCGTGAGCGGGGGAGGGGCAGAGAGAGGGTGACACAGAATCCAAAGCAGGCTCCAGGCCCCGAGCTGTCAGCCCAGAGCCCGACGCGGGGCCCCAACTCACGGACCGCGAGATCATGACCTGAGCCGAAGTCGGACGCTCAACCAACCGGGCCACGCAGGCGCCCCGAGATTCTCCCGTTTCAAGTGCGCAGCTCGGGGCTGTCGGATACTCAGAGTTGTGCCCCCATCATCACTGTGTGTCCATTTGGAAAGAACGAAGTGTGAAGATTTTGGTTTGAGTCTTACGGGAGGTTCTTCTGTGCTCGCGGGAGAAATCAGTCTGTGTGTCTTGTGGCATCGGGCGACGGCCAACTTCCCTACCAGCTGGTCGTGGCTATTTTCAGCTCTGTGGGGCCAGGGGTCCCTGTACAGCCGCTTGGCTTTGCCACCGTAGCGCAGGAGCCCCCTAGGTCATAGGCAAATGAATGAGTGGAGCCGTGTGCCGATAAAACTTTATCTACAAAAACGGACAGCAGGCTCCATGTAGCCAATCCTGATCGGTGGCTGATGTGTTTAATTTTGTCGTGAGCTAGTCTTGGGCGCTTGCTTTAAAGTATTCATCCTTGCTGTTTTCCGAATTTTCGTTCTTTTGTAGATGATGTTTATCCTGTCTTTGTCTCTCTAGTTAATCTGAAAGGATATATATTAGTTTTCATTTTACTAGTGGCTAACTATGTGCGTGTACGTATACAAACGTATGTGTGTACGTATAAGCATATTGAACTTAATTTTGCCAATATCATCATCTGTGAAATAGTATCTACAGATTCTGGCCTTAAAAACATGAATATAGGGGCGCCTGGGTGGCGCAGTCGGTTAAGCGTCTGACTTCAGCCAGGTCACGATCTCGCGGTCGGTGGGTTCGAGCCCCGCGTCGGGCTCTGGGCTGATGGCTCAGAGCCTGGAGCCTGTTTCCGATTCTGTGTCTCCCTCTCTCTCTGCCCCTCCCCCGTTCATGCTCTGTCTCTCTCTGTCCCAAAAATAAATAAAAAACGTTGAAAAAAAAATAAAAATAAAAGAAACGTGCAGATATGAAATGTCCAGAACAAGAAAATCCACAGAGACGGAAAGTGGATTCATGGTTGCCAGGGGCTGTGGAGTGGGACGGGGGTCACAGCTCATAGGGACAGTTTTTTCTTTTTTTAGGGTGATGGAATATTCAAGAATTTGATGTTAATGGTCGCACGACTCTGAGTGCACTAACAACTACTGAATCGCGAACTTTAAAATGGCGAATTTTACTTTTTTCTTTTTTTTAAGTTTTTTTCAAATTTTATTTTTAGTTTTTTTAAATTTACATCCCAATTAGTTAGCAATAGTACAGCAATGATTTCAGGAATAGATTCCTTAATGCCCCTCCCCCATGTAGCCCATCCCCCTCCCACACCCTCTCCAGTAACCCTCAGTTTGTTCTCCATATTTATGAGTCTCTTACGTTTTGTCCCCCTCCCGGTTTTTATAGTATTTTTGCTTCCCTTCCCTTACGTTCATCTGTCTTGTCTCTTAAAGTCCTCATATGAGTGAAGTCATATGATTTGTCTTTCCATCCCTGTAGTTGCAAATGGCAAGATTTCATTCTTTTTGATTGCCGAGTAATACTCCATTGTATATATATATACGCCACATTTTCTTTATCCATTCGTCCACCGATGGACATTCGGGCTCTTTCCATACTTTGGCTCTTGTCGATAGTGCTGCTATAAACACGGGGGTGCATGTGTCCCTTCGAAACAGCACACCTGTATCCCGTGGATAGATGCCTAGTGCAAGTGCTGGGTCGTAGGGTAGGTAGTTCTCTTTTTAATTTTTTGGGGAACCTCCACACTGTTTTCCAGAGTGGCTGCACCAGCTTGCATTCCCCAAAATGGCGAATTTTAGAGTATGTCACGTGTGTCATTTTTTTTCAGTAGGCACCACGCTCATTGTGGAGCCCGACACGCGGCTTGACCCTCACGAACCGTGAGATCATGACCTGAGCTGAGATCAAGAGTCGGATGCTTAACTGACTGAGCCACGCAGGCGCCCCTCAATTTTTAAAATCATATGAAGAAAAGAGAGGAAAATGCAGTGTGCAGAGGTGCTGAGTGCTGGAAATGACAGAGGGACGCATGTGGCCGGGGTAAATGGAGACATATGCGGGACCGCAGGGATCGACCTATGTTCCAGAATGAACCTGGAACCACATTATTATGCAAAGTAACCATTTTCACCCGAATCACAGAAGCAAGTTTTCTGGAACTGAAAGGAATTTTAAAGTCCATCGGCAATCTATACTTAGAATAGTCCAGAAAATATTAAAACACAACAACGAGGAATTTATATTGGCAGATACAACCATTACTCTGACTGTACAAGGTACATTAAAATGGGAGCTGGAGGCGGCTACGTGCTAGAAGACCCAGAAAGAGCCCGGGTAAATACATAGCACTCCTGATCTGTGCGGAAGGGCCACGCTGTGCTGCAGTAGGGGTTCCTTGTTATTTAAAAAATAAAAATTCCGGAATGCCCGGGTGGCTCAGTGGATTAAGCGTCCCACTTCGGCTCAGGTTGTGATCTCATGGTTCGTGAGTTCGGGCCCCGCGCCGGGCTCTGTGCTGACAGCCTGGAGCCTGCTTTGGATTCTGTCTCCCTCTTTCTCTGTCCCTTCCCTGCTCACGTTCTGTCTCTCAAAAGTAAACATTAAAAAAAATAAAAATGTCCCTAGAGCCTTACCTCACACCATACGTGGAAATGACACTCTCAAGTTTATCTAACGTTTAATATTTGAGAAAAGAAGAGGGGCACCTGGGTGGCTCAGTTGGTTAAGCATCTGACTCTTGGTTTTGGCTCAGGCCGTGATCTCACAGTTCCTGAGTTTGAGCCCTGCTTCAGGCTCTACACTTATAGCTCGGAGCCTGCTTGAGATTCTCTCTCTCCCTCTCTCTCTCCCCCTCCATGCTGTCCCTCTCTCAAAATAAATAAACATTAAAAAAAACACCCAAAACAGGGAGCCAGGGTGGCTCAGTCAGTTAAGCATCTGACTTTTGATTTTGGCTTAGGTCATGATTTCACGGTTCAGTTTGTGAGATCAAGCCCTGGTCAGGCTCTGTGCCAGCAGCTTGGAGCCTGCTTGGGATTCTCTCTCTGTCTCTCTCTGCCCGCCCGCCCCCCCCCCCCCGAACAAATAATAAATAAATAAACATCTACAAAATAAAAAAAAGAGGAAAACCATGAAGAACCAGAAGAAAACAGAGGTGAATATTTACATAAAGGCCTCCCCAGCCCACGTTTGTAAGCTTGTCACTAAGGGCAGAAAACGTCGAGGAAAAGAATCACCAAAAATGTGAAAGCTGGTAAAGAGAAGAAAAAAAAATATGTTGAAATGATCATAAACAAAGTTAAACAAGAAACCAGGAGAAATTTGTGTAACGTATATGACAAATTATATGCAAAAAAGCTTTTATCAGCAAGTATTATTAAAGGGTCTCCACACCCAACATGTAAAGAGTTTTTAGAAACCAATAAGAAAAGACCACTTTCCAATGGAAAAAAGGACAAAGGATATAAATTGGCAATATAAATGGTCAACGTGCGGTGAGAGTGTTTTCCTATCAAATAGGTAATGACACATGGCCCAGCACCCAGTTTTGGGAGGATGTAAGGAAGTGGGATCCCTGAACCTGTGTAGATGGGGATGTAAATTAGTGCCCCCTTTCTGCAGGGTACTCCCCAACTCATCAAAATGTCCCCCAGGGTAATGCCCTCTGACACACACAGACACCAACCCTGGCATTTTACCTGTATCCACAATCGGGGATATTTATAAAGATCTGACTAGAGAATTTATTGTCGCCAAAGTCACAGCAACAACCAGGAGGCATCGGTTAACTGATGGGGCACCTGCACCGTGCGTGCCTGGGCTCGTCCACACCGCCTGTCCGCCTGCATCACCCTGGGCCTGCCCCCGCTCCGTGGCCCCCACCTGCCTCTCCACTTGGTGGTCAAGACCAGAACCAGCATCTCGGTCCAGTACTTCACGGTTGGTTTTTAGGACAAAGAAAGGATCCAAGTCATTCCCACCTTGACTTTGCTTCCACCTCAGGAATTGCTGCAAAGCAACAGGGCCTGGGAGCCCTCTGGCGAGGGCTGGTGCAACTAAGGAGGGGGTTCTGAGGGGTAGAGCCCGCCCCGGGGCGACTTCCAGTGACAGGGGCTCCTGATCTTCTGAGGTGGCCTCGCCCAGCTGTTCCCGAATTACCAGAACGTTCCTTCACGAACACCAGAGGCTGCCTCCTGCGTCGTTTCCACGGGAATGATGTAGATTCCCGCCACTCCTGGGAGTCCCCGCTGGCCAGGAGGGGGCTCGGCCAGCGGTCTTGTGCGAGCAGCCCCGCCGTGCCCTCCCTCGTCCTCCCCGTCTGACCAGATTTCCATGCCAACGCCTGGCCCCCCCATTACCTCTCCCGGCTGGACAGCTTCTGGGGTTTTGACGTGAACCACCCACCCCGTTTGGCCTCAGATCCCTGCATTCCCAGCAGCCCGAGGCAGGGGGGGTCTTAAGGCCACACACGATGGTTCTCTGACGGTTCTGGGCTCAGAAGTCCTTACACCCAGGTGTGGGCAGGGCCAGTTCCCCCAGAACCCCAGGGTCATCCTACCTCAGGGACCTTGACAAGGTCCCCTCTGTGCCATGAGGTGACAGGTCCCAGGACCAGGAAGGGGACATCTTTGGGGGTGATTACAAATGACAAATTTTTAGCTGTTTCTGGAAATTGTGGTGCATTTCCAAAGTCAACGGGGAAGGAGACCATGGCTCCTTTAGAAGGTGTTTCCAGATAACGTGATTCCCGAGAAGCCGCTCAATTCCCACGGAGACAGCACGCCCTCTAGGGGCGAGAAGCCAGCCCTGCCCTGGTTCCTGCGCAGCCCTACCCACCGCCCCTTCGTCTGCTCCCACTTGCCAGAGACCCACGCCTGGGGGCCCCGGAACCGGGGCACGTGCATTGGAGAGGGACCCCATCTTGCACAGAAGAAAGAGCAGTTGGGGTGAATGACTCAGGTGTCTGCTCAGAGCTGGCTGCCCAGAAAACTCCTGGCTGGTTCTGCCCTATCACGCTGCAGTGGGTTCAACATTTTCTGGCTCCTTCTCCCGCACAGCAGAAAGGCAGAGTTAAAATTGTGCCTAAGCACTGGCGGCAACTGACGAAACAGAGACGGGGGACAGAGCACGTGCCTTCCCCACGGTTCTCAGCCTGCTTTCCGGGGACTTCCATCCTCACCACCCCACGAAACCCTAACTTCACCCATAGCCTGTGCGTCTATTCACCTATCTGGGGCACTCTGGTGGGCCACCGGCCATCGTGACATCGAGGATCCCTCGCCCCTTGGGGATGAGGGCACCCTGGGGACAATGGCCGTGACGTGTCCCAACACCGGCCCTCCCCCCCCCACCCCAGGAAAATGGAAATGACCACCAGCAGCCGCGGGTACAAAAATGGCACAATTTATTCTGATGCTCGGGTGGGAACACCCGTGGGCGGGGAGGATGCAGAGGGTCCCTGCCACCGTCCCCGGCCTGGCCGCACGGCGGGAGCAGCTGGGAACCCTGGGGCGCACAGTGGTTCTGCGGTTTGGCTGTGGTCTTGCATGTGAAGGGGCGACATTCGACTGGACAGTTTCCTCGTCCTGGGAGGCTGCCTTGCCAGGCCCCCCCCCCCTGAGCTGGGCCCCGGAGGCTTCCGGAAGGACCGAGGCCCGAGCTCATGTTAATTGCACTTGTTCGGTGTTGGGTGACGGTGCCCCTCACGTCTGCGAGCATCCCAGACACCCAGAGGTACTGAGTCGGCACGGTCCACACTGGAAGGGCAGCCACGGCGAGAGGCCACGGAGGATGTGTGGGCAGGCAGAGGCACGAACTCGGGGCAGAACGGGGCTTCCCGTGGTCACTTCGGTGCAGCCCCCGACGGGGCCCTGGCCACCCCTCCCAGGGCACCGTGGGAGACGGTGGTGGGATTCAGATCCCACAGCCACACAGGGCCACGCAAACGGAGGGTTTTGATGTGAAGCTGGCAGGCTCTGCAGGAGGACATTTGGCAAGACTCAAAGATCCCGCCCAGGAGAGCGGTTCCAGGGGACTCATCCTGTGTTGTCCACACGGGAGAGGGGATATTTTTCTAAAGGGGAAGGCAGGCTCACGTGTAGGAAAAGAAAAATCATATCTTTCATGATCCACGAAGGGGCCCGGGGGGGCCGGGAGGCAGGCTGTGGGGTCCCTGTCGTACCTGTCGTGAAGCAGACACGGGGCTCCCAGGCGCCGGCTGCCCGCAGGGCACAGGTCCGTGCGGGCCCACTGGGCAAACGCAAGTGCTTTACAAACACAGTGGGTTTTCCCAGGTGCCCAACACATACAACCACGGAGTCCAAGTTCAATGCCGGCCGAGGAGACAGGCCAGACCCACGGCTGCTGCATCTGGGATCGGGGAGGACTCGACCCCGGCGCTCAGCGTAGCCGTGACAGCATGGAGCTCCGATCACTTGCTGGGCTTTCTAGAAAGCATGGGCCCATGTTCCGGAGACGTGGCCCTCAGGCTAGAGTGTCCCCTGGGCACTGCCTCGGTGGCCGCAGGGCCGAGCGGCGCTCAGTGGCACATCCGTGCGGTCATTTCTTTCTGTTAAGAACGAGCGGGACGTCAGGTATCGAGACGAGAAGGACAGAAACCACACCCCAGAAAAGCAGATCCGGTCTCAAGGGACCCGCAGGCTTCATTTCTCGCCAAACCTTACGAACAACGGAACAGATAACCGGGTGGTGGGGGCGGGGGGGGGGGGCCCAAGCCATTCTGTGAAGGGCCAAAAAGGCAGCGTTGTCGAGGGAGAGCGGCTGCGGCAACGCGTAAACGCTAAGGCACGAAGACATCTTGCCACGTTCTGCACGACGGCAAGACCCCGGGAGCCTCGGTGTGCAGGAGCAGCGGGCAGATCAGCACCAGCCCACGTCCTTTACACACAGCCTGGGGAAGTCTCGCTGGCCCCAGAAAGAACTGGAAGCATCGATACGGGAGCAATGATGAGGGTATCGAGGCACGAAGCTAAAAAAAAAAAAAAAAAAATCGGGGCACCTGGGTAGCTCACTCGGTTGAGCATCCGACTCTTGATTTCAGCTCAGGTCGTGAGCGTCTCGTGGTCGTGAAATCGAACCCCACACTGGGCTCTGCGCTGACCGGGCAGAGCCTACTTGGGATCCTCTCTCTGCCCCTCCCCCACTTCCTCTCTCTCTCAAAATAAATACGTAAACATTAAAATGAACACGCAAACAAACAAATTGAGCCTCCTTTAAGCGTCTGACTTCAGCTCAGGTCACGATCTCACGGTCTGTGGGTTCGAGCCCCCCAGGGCTCTGTGCTGACGGCTCGGAGCCTGGAGCCTGTTTTGGATTCTGTGTCTCCCTCTCTCTCTGCTCCTCCCCCGCTCCAGCTCTGCCTCGAACTCAAAACGAATAAACATTAAAAAAAAAAAAAAAAAAAAGAAAGAAATCATTGCTTGGTCTCCAGCCAGGCAGTGAGGACAAGGGTGGGGGAGACTGAGTTGTCTGGGCCCGGCCACCGGGCCGCTGGTGTTTGCAGGGTCCCCGAGGGCATGGCAGCCACATCCCTGCCATGCCCACCAGCGGGGGGGCATGGAGCAGCCAGAACCAAAAGTAAGCCCGGAGGGGGGGGGGTGTTCCGTGTGCCTGCCAGGAACCTGAACGGCCCACTTGAGTGTCACTGTGTCACAAATTTGGGCCCAAGCCCAAAGAACCCCCCTCCGCTCCCCTCCGCTGACTTCGGGCCGTGGAGCCGCGGGGGCCGCCGCCAAGCCGGGAGTCTGGGCCCTGTGGACCAGCCCGGGACTCCAGGGTCCCCCCGCCCACCAGTCCCGTCCCGCTCACCAGCGGCTCGAGCTCCTTGGTGTCGATGAGGCCGAACTCCTTGACGAAGTAGTAGAAGTGCTTGTAGCAGGTGTTGACGTGCGCCTCGGAGCCCATCTGCGCGATGCGGTCGAAGTGGTGGATGTAGACGTGCACGAACACGCGGAACAGTCGCGACAGGATCTTCCTCACCACTTGCAGGAAGTTCTTGGGGAACGGCGTGCCTGTGGGAGGGGCGAGAGGCTCAGGGGGGCGGGGGGCCCACCTACCCCCTTCCCGACCCCACTTGGGTTCCGGCCCGTGGGCGCCACGCGGGTTTCCAGTGAGGCTTCTTGTCCTTAGCAGACTCCCTGATGGGCTCCCGGTCCTCCTGCCCCCACCCCCGGTTCGTCTTTACCACGTCCTCTCGCTTGCCGTCACCGACGCTTCCTTGGGCCGCGGTGGGTCGCGTCAGGCACCCCCGGGTGCCCCTTCCACCCCCATCCGTTCACGTCCCTCCGTCCCGCGGCACGGACGGGGTGCAGCCAGCACGGGCAGGTGCGTGCCCGGGACCGGAAAGAGTGAGGGGCCCCCGTCCCCGACGTGAGGGGCTAGCAGCCCAGGGAGAGGACGCACAGAGACGCCGCGCCCTGCGGGAAGCCCCCGTGTGCCGGGCGCACATCCCCCAGGTGGACACACCGGCGCGTGCGGGATGCGGGTGCGGGAAAGCTCTCAGGACGGCGCTGCAGCAAGAGCGGGACGGCCAGCCGGCGCCCCACGCGGCAGGGCCCACGGGGCTGTCTGTCCTCTACCCGGAGGCAAGTGGGAGGGAGAAGGCTCTCTACGAGCGGACCGGACCGTGACCGGTGCAGCCTGACCCTGCGCGTCCCGGGTGCCGCCCTGCTCCCTCCCCTGTATCTGGGCCCAGGTGGCCTCTCGGGGCAGGGGAACGATGGGCCTCGGTCATGGGCAAGCGTCCGAGCGTGGTGAACGGGCCGTTCCCGGCCGACTCTGCGGAGGCTTTGCTCAGGCTCACTGAGGCCTGTGCACGTTCCCCGTCCCTCGACTCTGGACGTGAAACCGAATGGTCTGTGGGTCCCTGCGGAGCAGATGCTTTCCTTGAAAGCCCCTGGAAGCCACGCGGTGGGACGGTCACCTCGAGGGCTGGCAGTCCCCACGCGCTGGGGCCCCTCATAGTGGAAAGGGGCTTTAAGCTCAGAAGGAACATCAGGCCCACAGCAAGCGGACAAACGGAGCCCCGGGGAGCCCGGCTCGGCACCGAACCCACACGGGGCCTGGGTGTGAGGCCGCCCCGGCCCCCGCTGCGCCTCTGTCCTAGGACAGGAGCCGCCAAGGGCACTCCTGGATGAAGGGGGGCAGTTTAAAGCAGGCTGGTCTGGATGGGCCTGACACAGAATCTCCCAGGACTAAGCCGCACACTCTCCTGAGGACTCTCCCGCGGGGTGCGAACCCGGCCCCGTCTGCTCTTACAAAGAAAGTGACACTGGGACACAGATGCACCCGTTTGTTTATGAACCGCCTACAGCAGCTTTCGGTCTATGACGCAGATGTGAGTCGTCAAGACACATGCCGTGTGGCCGGCCAAGCCGGAGAGATTTACCAACTGGTCCCCACGAGGAAAAGTGCACAACCCCTGGTCCGACGTTAAGAGCACAGGCTGGTGACTCGAGACCCAAGCGGATGCACAAGCGTGAACAGAACCCACACGGGAGCCGGGATGAAGCGTGGACCCCGTCCTTCCCTTGCGAAGCCACAAACCCAGCCCCAGGGGGGGCCCAGCACACGGGACCCCACTCTGCGTGAAGCATTTCCTCTGCCTGCCTGGCCAGGGCCCTGCAAGCCTCAGGGTGACGCTGGCCAGGCTGGACTCCCCGACCCGATGTGACAGTGTGGGACGGGCCTGGGGCCCCGAGAGCCTGAAACACAAGGGCCTGCGTGAGGCCTCAGGGTCCCACTGGACGGCTGCGAGGCACCTGCCAAGTTACTTTTCTCTGCCTCTCGTCGGTGTCCTGTTCGGTAAGCTTAGGAGTCACCTTCCGTGGCGAGGGGCAGGCTTGGGGCCTCAAGCTCTAGGGTGCCGCCCCCCCCCCCCAGGAGTGGGTGGGACCTGTTGGGGTCCCAGCAGGGCTGGCGGCCACAGTGACGGACGGAGTGCACATGCGGAGGGGGCCCCGGGGGCCGGGCCTGAGACCTGTCTGCCCTGCTGCTGCTCGGGGATGCCGTGTCAACACTGGTGGGGACAGTTGAAGCCGTGTCCCAGGGAGTCTCCGGGTATCACCGTAACAAACTATCACTGGCCTGGTGGCTTAAATGCCGAAAGCCACAAGTTCCGAGTCTGTCGCTGGCCTGCTGTTGGTCAAGGTGCTGGAGGCACTGTTCCCTCCGGAGGCTCCGGGGTCAGTCTGTGTCCTTGCTGCCTCTGGAAGCCCACGACCCCTCCCCACTTCCCGGCTGCCGTGCCACCTTCTCTCTCAAGTCGGATCTCACTGCTTCCTTCTCACAAGGGCCCTTGTGATGACACTCAGGCCACAGCAGGACGATCCAGAGTCATCTCCCATCTCAGGGTCCTTAACTTAAAGAACAATGTACCCACCGCGCACGCGCATGTCCACAGACGACCGTGTTCCCCGCGCACGTGCACATCCCTCGGCCGCGAGCAGGAGCGAGGCGCCCACCCCCGCTGCCCCGCGGACGGACCCTGAACGCACGACGCTCAGGGTGGGAACCAGACACGAGAGGCCACGCGTGTGAAACGTCCAGAACAGGCTCATCCACGGACAGGAAGGGGGCTCATGGGTGCTGGGGGAGGGGGGTGCTGGGGGAGGGGGCTTCTTTCAGGGTGGTGGAATGTTCCAGAACCAGTTGTGGCACTTGCATAAATCTGCGAACCTATTGCTAAACGCCCTGAACTGCCCGCTCGAGACGGGCTGACCGTACGAACGCGAGTCCTCCCCGCCCGGCCCGGCCGCCCCGACTCACCAACGTGGGTGGGAAAGAGCTCCTCGTTGTTGATCTGCACCTCGATCCAGTCCATGAGCAGGTCCATGTAGCGGGGGGCCGACAGCGCCGTGGGCTTGCGGAACTGGTGCTCGTCTTGCCAGCGGTACTCGTACTTGGGGCCGCCGGACATGACCGGGCAGGACTGCTCCGTGCACTCGTCGCCGATGGTGCCGTAGATGAGGTTGACGCGGTTGAAGAAGTCCACCACGTGCACGGCCACCCAGTCGCTGAGCTCCTCGCCGGGGGGCAGCTGCACGGCCAGCTTCAGGTCGAGCCCCGCGTTCAGCGACGCCTGCGCCTTCTTGTGCAGCTCGAACCGCTGGGTGCCCGGCTCGAACTTGCGCTTGGGCCGGAAAGTCTTGTCCTTGTTGAAAACTTGCTTCAGGAAGGGGTTGGACATGGTGGCCCCGTGCCCGGCCCGTGCTCCCCGGCGAGGCCTCTGCAGAGTGGCCCTGGGCAGGGCGCTGCGGTCAGCCGCGGGGACGGGGGACCGGAGATTCGCGGCGTCCCCGGCCTCCCCCGAGATCTGGAACACAGAAAGGGGAGAAGGGTCACCTGTTTCTGGAAACCCTCTTTCGGAAGCACATGGGGCTGGATCGGGAGGCCCCCGAGACTCGTGGTTTTCAGTTTCACGGAGAGGGCGCCGGTGGACACAATGGTCCGCCACCTCGGCAGAAGGCGTTGAGGCAAAGCCCCCGACGAGCCAGAGCTGGCGGAGCCCCCGCTGTACAGTGGGAGGGGTCGTGTGCAAAGCCGCGCAGCGGCCAACGGCGACCGCAGCAGGTCAGTGGCAGCCAAGGGCGAAGGGAGGTCTCCATCCCTGGGACCTGCAAACGGACCTTATCTGGAAAAGGGTGCTTGGCGGAGGTGACTGAGCATCTCGGGACGCGCTCCTCCCGGGTTATCCAGGTGTCCCTGGTCCGATGACGGCTGTCCTCGCAGAAGGACACGCAGACACACGGGAGAAGGCTGCATGAGGATGGAGGTCAAGGGGGGGCACCAAGGGTGGCCAGCACCGCCAGGGCCAGCAGAGGGCCGGGAGCAGACCTCACCACCCTGAGGACATGCGCAGAAACCGCGCTCCCAACGGACGGACGGGAATTCTGGGGGGACACGCTGCCCCACGGGGCCTGCCTAAGAGGCCCGGACGAGCCCGTCTGGGTCCTGTCTGTCCAAGCCGGGACCAGGATGGGCGCCCACTGGCTTCTGGGGACGCGGCCCTGCCCAGGGGGGTGAGGGCCCTATCTCCCCCTACTCTTCCAGCCTCTCTGTGCTCCGTGTCCTGTTACCTGGGACAGGACACGCCCCACGTCAGGGAGTGGGAGAGCGCGCAATGGAGCACGTGAGGCCAGGTGCTCAGGCGGGACACAGTCACCATGCTGTGCCTGGCACTGCCCATCACCCCACACCGTCCCGGGAGCGAAGGCCGGGCTGCGATGGGGGAGGCCGGGTGCCAGCGTGGCAGGCGGGGCCGGGGTCTCGGGAGTTCAGCAGACAGAAGGCGCAGAAGGGGAAGCGCGGGGAGAGGCGGAAGTGCCAGGCCCCGCCCTGCGGCCCCGCCCTGCGGCCCTCCAGGCCCCGCCCTCCAGGCCCCGCCCTGCGGCCCTCCGTATCCTTCCTCCATTTGCTGCCTACAATAAGTAACCTTTTCCGACTTCACCGCAAATGCCCACCCCCGCCAGCTTCTCCTTTACTTAAACTGGGGGGGGGGGGGGGGCTCATTCCTCTGACTCCACCCCTCAAGACCCAGCACGTGGCTCTAGGAAAGTACCACACACTCAGGGCTCCTAACAGCCCAACCGTGGTATCAGAAAGTTCTAGAGGCTCCAGGTCCGAGACGGCCCTCCTGGGAGTCCTCGCCTTTCCCGGCTTCCAGGGCGTCACATCTTTGGCCATCGGCCCACATGGCTCTGGCCTCTGCTGCCCTCATCAAGCCCCCTTCTGCAGGGACCCCACGCACCCCCCAGCCCCCACGGCGGCCCCCGCAGAGAACGTGCACCACAGGCGCTACCTGTCCGGGCGCAGGGGTCCCCAGACTCTTGGAGATGAGTGCACACGGCGGCCCGGGATGCAGGGAGGGTGACCCAGACGGCGGGCTGGCAGTGGGGGCACCTGGGCTCCCAGCAAACACTTAGAGCTGTCATGGCTCCACCACGGCCTGTGGCCCTCCGTTGCCGGGACGTGGGAAGAAGGGGCCTCCCGGGACCCTGGGCCCTGACAAGGTGCCCCCGGAGCCGGCGACTGCATTTCTGGGGCCACGTGCGGCCTGCGCACCTGCCTCGCCAGAACTGGGCCGACTCTGTGCCCGCTGTGGCCGAGCTGGGAGCCCCAGCTGAGCGGTTTGGGCCGTGTGGACTCTCGGCCAGCACCCAAGCAGAGCCTCAAGAGCTGGTCCTTCTGCGGCCACCGGGGGCCAAATGGGAGGTGGCGGCAGACATGCAGGGACCCCGCCGCCACCCTCCCGCCTGCTCACAGCTGCCCCACCCGGCCAGCGTCGGCCTTGTCCTCGGTGTGTCCCCAGGGCCTGCTCCCGGGGCTGAGGCAGCACCTGACGTGCGAGAGTGTGAAGCAGGCTCCCTGCCCCGGTGAGTGGGCAGGAGACGGTGGGAAGGATAAGGGCCTCCAAAAGCGTCCCCGCCCCGGTTCTGTGACCGGGAACCTGTCACTTCACGTGGCAGAGAGGACCCTGTCAAGGCCCCTGAGGCGGGGGTGACCCTGGGTGCCCCAGGGGCCCAGCGTCCTGGCGAGGTCCTCACGAGAGGGAGGCAGAGAGATGGGCAGACCCCGTGCTGCTGGCCGGGAGGATGAGGAGAGGCCGCGGGCCCAGGATGCGGGGCCTCTGGGAGCCAGAGAAGGGGGGAAAGGGGGCTCCCTGGGGCCCCAGCGGGGGGCAGCCCTGCCCACGCCTCGGAGTTAGGAGTTTCCAGCCCAGCCCTGCCCACTCCACTTTGAACTCACGACCTCCAGAACTGTGAGGTGACAGAGGTGTGTGGCTCCAGGCCACGGAATCCGTGGTCACTTGCCGCAGGGGCCCCGGGAGACTCAGGAGCCACCAGTTAACAGGCCCTGCGGAGTTTCATAACGAGCCTGGGCACAGTGACTCGCTGCGGACGACACCGCGGCAGCCCAGCCTGGCTACCCGTGGGCCCAGGCCCTTCCTGTCTGCGGCGTGGCTGGCGAGGCCTCCCACCCTCTGCGTGGACAGGCAAAGCCCCACCACTCCTCTGGGCCCAGCTGAGCTGCGCTCAAGGCGCAGGAACCGCGCAAAACACAGAAGGTGAGCATCAGGGTCGGAAGAGCTGACCGGAGACGGCGGGGTCAGAGGGACGGAAAAACCAGCGCTCCCACGACAACAGCCGTCACCACAAAGTCCGTCACCAGCGCCAGCGAGGACAGGCAGACCGGAACCCTCGGGCCTGGCCAGTGTGCACGTAAAAGGCAGCGACCACTGGGGACAACAGCCCAGCACGGGGCTACCCCGGGGCCTAGCGATGCCTCTCAGATCCACAGGCAAGAGAGGCGACAACACACGTGCACACGAAACATACACGCGTGTTCACGGCAGCGCAATTCATAACGTTCACCAAAAAGTGGAAACAACCCAAACGTCCATCAACAGGTGACCACGTGAACCAGCTGGGTCCGCCGCACATGCACACGTCCCTCGGCTGTGAGCAGGAGCGAGGCGCCCACCCCCGCCGCCCCGCGGACGGACCCCAAACACACGACGCTCAGGGAGGGAACCAGACACGAGAGGCCACACGGAGTGTGAGTTCGCGGGTGTGAAACATCCAGAACAGGCCCATCCAGGGACAGGAAGGGGGCTCGTGGGGGCCGGGGGAGGAGTGGGGGTGACGGCTGACGGGGACCGGGTTTCCTATGGGGTGATGGAATGTTCTGGAACCAGAGGAGGTGCCTGCACAGCCTTGTGAACTGAAGACACAGGGCTGTGCGCTGTCGATGAGTGGGCGTAAGGCACGCGGATGTTATCTGAGAAAGGGGGGGGCACGGGCAGGCCTCTATCCGGGGCCCTAAACGGCTGAAGCGTCCCTGTTCGCTCGCACCGAGGCCGGCGCGGCTTGTAACCCCCGCTCACGGGGCCCTGGAGCAGCCACTGAGAGGCACAGAGAGTAGACGGTGCTGGGATGACTGGAAGGAGGGAGGTCCCGCGATGACCCCCGGCCGGTGGCTCGAGGTGCCTGTGCTCCGACGAGGTCATGGGGCGACAACGGAGAGAAGCGCGTCCGCTTCCCTCCCCAGGGTGGCCCCGGGGGCTCTGGCACCATCGACCGCCGCCTTGGTGGATTCGGCTTTGCGGTCACCCCCAAGCAGTGCGGCACCAACAGCGGGCCGACCGGGTCTCCCCGGGGCACTGTGGGGTGGCATCCCTGCCCCCCCCGTCGTGACCAGGGTCCCCTGGGGGCCGAGTCACCTCGGGCGAGACCCTGGATTAGAAGACCATGTCTCTGTACCGCCTGGTTAACGATTACTTAGATCGGAGTTTCCATCCTGGCGGCGGGTAGGGGGAGGGGCCAGAGCGGGACCCCTGGGCTGTGGGTGAAGCCACCACCCTTTCTGCCCAGCCGCGTGCCGCCACGGCGGGCCCCCTCTCCGTTATTCGGCCCTCTGCCGGCCTAACCCAAAGCCAGTGCCAGCCCCCCTCCGGGCCGGGGCCGGTCCCCCCTGCGGCCCTGTGAAGCCTGCACAGAACCCGTGTGGCCGGGGCAGCCGACCCTCCCTGGTTCCAGCGGGAGGGCCTGGGCGGTGGGAAGGTGGCGCCTCAGAAGACGGGGCGCAGCCACACCCACCCCGACCCTCTGTCAGACCGGCCGTGCGCCCCTGGTGGGCCTGTGCTGGACACGCCGGCGCGGAACCCGCTCCCCGCCTACGCCCAGTAACGCCCAAGCGGCCTGCACACCTGCCCGGGGGGTCGCGCTGCAAACCTGGCTGCTCTCAGGCCCCTCTGGGGACAGGTCAAGGGACAAGAATCCCCTGTGGGCCACCTTCTGCTCCTCCTCCGACGTGGCTTAGATACTTCCTCGTTCGAGGTCTGTCTTCAACCTGCAGACTCCCTTCCGCTTGAGGAGACAGGGTGGGGGTTATGTCCAGCCAGACGGGGGCCACCGCAGCCCCTCCTGTGGGTCGCCTGGTTCCCCGGCTCCTTATTCACCGCGGCTAAGCTACGTCCCGGACAGCAATCCCGGGGCGAGAGAAACACAGCCCGCCAGTGCCCTGCTGTCGCTTTTTACCTGGGGCCTCCTGGGGATGGCTCTGGGAATTTAAGCTGAGACCCTGTCACCTGGGGACACAGGACAGAAGCACGCCGTGTGACATGGGAGTGCGGCCTCAGGGGTACCGCAGGGCGGTGGTCTGTCTGCACGCCTTCGTGCCACGGACCAGACGCACACGGGGATGGTTCTGGAAGGTGGGGCGGGGCAGGGCAGTGGGGGGCTTACGGGGCTCCTGCCTGCTTTTGGTCTCTTCTCAGGAAGTGGGAAGGTTTTTTAAGTGGAAGCAATGATTTCCTAAAAAACTTCCCTGATGGTAGAATTCCCCTCAAAAGCAAACAGCTTTCTCTCAGGAGCACATGCACCCCCCTCCCGACCCCCGGACGAGGGGCGGCGGCCCCCAGAAGGTGCCTTTGCCTTGAGGGGCGGCAGGAGCCCAGGGTGCCCGGGAAGCCCCCCCACCGCCGCCCCTGGTCCCATTACCAGCTCTTCCCGGAACACCTCCACGGTTGGCGCAGGGGAGGGTGGGGCAGGGGATTCGGTGCTAAGGGCTC